CATAATATGATCCTGTGGACTGAATACTGACAAAAAAAATTAATTCAATTACACAGTGAAAATTTACCTTGAGAAAGGACACTACTGACACTTACTGACAAATCCAGTGCATGCAGTGTGAGACCGAGCAGGTGGTGTGTAAGAATGATCACATTATAATCAATTATGGCACAATCTCCATGTAATGGTTGATAGTGCTAAAAAGCAGGTACTATGGAGCTGACCTTTCAGATTCTTTAACTGAAGACACAATAAACAATTGAATATCAGAGTATGTATTTTTCTCCTAAGCAATATTGTTCAATAACACAGTGATACATTACCGGGAGCATCACCAGATGGTTTTTGGGTTGGGTCGTTGGGGGCGGATGTGGGTTTTACTTCTGTGTTGGCTGTGGATAAACAGACCAATGAATGCAGTGAGATGCTGTGGAAGCATGGTAAGACAATGCATGTAAATTCACATTTAATAATCTGGCCCCGATCCCAGGCACTTAATTTCACCATCACTCTGTCTTACTGGATGTTATAAAAACAGCCTTGTTCATGAATATATTCTTTTTTAGAAAGGTGATTTTAAAATTTCTAAAGAAAATTTTAAAGGAATGGAATTACCTGCTTATATATGTTTCTATTTTTGAAATTATTTTACCTGATGTGTGTATTTTATAGTTCTGATGTCTTGTCAGCTGACAAACAGTGGTGTGTAGGAACCAAAACATTTATTTTTCTGTCTAGTTCAGACTGGTTAAATTCTAGTAACCAATAGAACAAATCTCAATGTGTTATTTTAGCTCTTTATGATTGCAGATGAATGTAGTAAAAGAGAGCCATCTACCACAGATTCAGCATCTTTATAATGGTGGTTGCAAATAAGTAATTTCTAAAATAAATTTGTATTTATTATATTATACAATACCAACACTACATAAAACTATACAGACACTTAGCTACATTGTGAGATGGAGTAGATCTGATAGAGTGGGGCAGCATAGAAAAATATGATTACCTTTTGGCAACATCTGTCTATTTTTCACTTTGGGTTTTCCTCTTTAATCTGCCCAGAATACAGGCTGCCAAAATCTGCCACGTACCCAAAATCATCATTGTAAAATGCAGAAACTGGAAAATCAACTGACTGTCTTACAAATCAGAGTGAGAGACACACAGACAGAAGAACCTGTAACAGCAGAATGTCCATCCATTCATACTGTCTACAAGTCAGAGTGANAAATGTTGTTCATTAAAACAACGAGAGTTTACCTTTAGAAGCCATATTAGTGACAGATGAGGATGGGAGAATGGATACAGATGAGGATGAAGTTGGGGAGATGGCTGAGCAACCAAATCCAGTGTGTGCAGTGTGAGGCAGAGCAGGGGAGCGTGGAAGAAAGATCACATTATTATCACTTACAGTATGGCACAATCTCAGTGTTATGGTTCATATTGAATTGGTATAGTTGATTTAATCTTTGAATTGAAGGTACTAGAGTATAAGATGACCCTTTACACCAAAACTCCTAATATGTATCAAAAACAGTATGTATGTGTGTGTGTGTGTGCGTATGTATATATACATACGTGTGTGTGTGTGTGT